GGGGGGGGGTCTTCGACCTGAAAAATCAGGGGTTAGGATTTGCACCCGGTCGAAAGAAACCTTGCTATCGCAAGAGTAACTCCAGCTAGCTTCGCTAGCTTTCGTGATTTTGAGAAACCAAGCCTCAAGCTTATAGTTTACATAGTTTTACACAAGGGGCTGCCAAAAAATGGTCCTTGGATGTCCTTGGCATTGCTTCGCCAGGAGTTCTGGGGGGGGCACGCGCCATACCGAAAAAAGCAGACCATAAACCCTTCCGTCCTGAAAGAAGACGGTTCGGAGGCTCCCGGTTCGGCTTGATAGAGGGGAAGACCCTTGGATTGGCTGGAGGAACCGGATAGAAACTAACGAGCCCGAACCAAACCATGAAAAACAAAGGTTTTCACATACAAAAACAATGTTCTTTGCTAGGGAAAACGGAATTTTTGATGGTTTTTGATGGTTTGTGGGGCCCCTGGTATTTATATACCATGCCGCGGATTCGCCCTAGTTCGGGGAAATACCAATGCATCCGCAAGACCAGGGACCACTGCTGCCAAGATGCTCATCGGCAGCGGAGGCCTCGCCGTCTGTAACTCTCGAGGGGTCACCTCATCGCTGAAGACCGACGCCCGACGCAAGGCATCCCAAGCCCGAACAGCTCGCCACTATAGATCACCCAAACACAGCCCAGGGCTCCGCAACTCGGGGTGTCCAACAATAGCTCCTTAGAGGTTAAAGGGGTGTCTATTGACCACCCCATGGCACCGGGGGCCCTTGGTGTTTTGATATCGTTGACACAGACATGTCATGTTGAACACCAAAAGCATCTTCCCCCAGGTTTCCGGGCAAATCACCTGTCCGGTTACTGGTCGCATCGGACCCCAAGTGGTTCGGACTTTCCACACGCGGACTGGCGAGAAACGGCCAGGGGTGGTTGACCTGGGGTCTGGGGCGGCAATCCGGCCAGGCAGTCCCATTAGGAGCGTCATGGGAAATGGAACCGGTTCGCTTCGGACCGAGGACCCGGGTGCCAGGATTCTGAGGGGTCCTGCCAGGTGAGCATTTCATGGGATCAGGTTTGACCTACTCCCTTGCAAAGGACCACATGGAAACCCACCGATAACCACCGGTGGTTTCGACCATCTTCCTCTACAACCCAGTGGCTTCTCAGGTTCCATGTGGCTTCTCAGCACCCAAAAGGGGAGGCACAGCCAGCCGGTAGAACCCCCCGCTAGGTCGGCACCCAGCCGAGGGACTGGTCGATGGAGCCATTGCTGCCGTGCCAGTCCAGCGCTCGCCTCTGCCTCGCATTCGGCGCCGCAGAGCTCATCGTCCTCCTCGACCTCGGCCTGTGGGACGTGTGAGATCTGATTTGGTGCGGACAAAAACACCGGGCACCCGGCCAAACTCACTCTGGGATTGCATCACTGCTTGACTGGTTGAAACGCACTGGAAACGCAGTTCCTTGCCCCACCCCAGTCGACTGGAAGAGTGGTTTCAGAGTTTGTCATGGCACGAGGTCCCCAAAACGACTTTTAGATGGGGGATGAAGGGTCCCCATACAAAGCACATTAAGCCACCAAACTTGAGGATTGTGCGTTCTGTACTCTCACTGATTCAGTGCCTTCAGGCCTTTAGGACACCGGTGTCCTTACCCGTCTGACTCTATAGTGATGGCATGTGGTCTGGAGTCCTCCCACCAGAAGGGCCTCCTGGATTCATGGCGCCCTCATCAGGCGACTGGAACACATCCAATCGACTGGTCTTCAAGATGTTCCCATGCTTGGCGTGGGTTGCCCGCTTCCTCTCAAGGACGCGTGTCTTGCACGGCAGGAGTGTCCCATGGCAAAACGGCATGATCAAACGCCGATCTTCTTCGACCTGAAAGCAACACCAAGAGACCTCCAACGACCGGACGTCCGATGCCCCACGACCGATCCCCTAAGGATCCGGAGCTGCCTCCGCCTCCGCCTGGCCCATGAGCCGATGCACCTCCTGCCATGACATGGTCAAAGAAAGGACTGACTGCGCCGGTGCGTTGCAGTCAGTAGAACATGCAAACTCTATACCAAGCCAGACTGCTTGGAGTTGCTGATTCGGAACCTGGACACATATTCTCAACGTTTTGGGATTGACCCAGTTCGGGAACATCACAAAGCAACCCGATCAGCTAAGCCAGGTATGTGTCTACAGCGTGTGAACGACATTACAACTCTGGAGGGTTGGAACTTGATCAACCACCCCCAACTGATTCTTTTGGCATGCCAGTCTGAATGGGGTAAGTATGCTAGAACTCTTCCATATGAAAAATCGGGTGCTCAGAAGTTCCAACCAGCTTCCCTGTCTACAAGCACCATCCCACCTCCGGAACACGGGTCAAGCTGCACGAACATCGAAGGTCGGGCAAAATGCCCCCGAGCCATACCCTACTGGCCACCTGTAAGGAGCTAGAAGCCGGGGGCCCTGGTTCCCAGTAGAAGGATTCTTTTTACCGGAACCTCATCGCTTTGAGATCAAACCCATGGGTTTCCCTGTAGATGTGCCCTTTAGACTTGAGACATCTTGAGACCAATACAAGAGGTATCAAGAGGCCCCGGCACCGGTTCGAGGAAATTTCGGCTGAGGTCGTTCTGAACCATCCGACAGCGAATTTCATACACACCCAAATTGGAAGACCCTAAGTCTTCCCAACCAACGCGGTCCTGTCCATCCATGCCAAAGAAGGAGGCTACTTTCTGCCTCAAATGAGGCAGTGATAAACCCAGTGAACATGACATGTGACTTATATTTGTCTTTTTCCAAGCTTCTTGGACCATCTGTGCAGAACAAGCATCGCCATACGAGTTTAGACATGTTATAGTTGAACAGATTCACTTCAAGGGCTATGTTGCAAATGCAAATCCTGCAATCCTGTGTCGTTGTGGCTCCATGTTGCTCGTCGGTGGTATCTTGTTCTTGGTGCGTTTTCCTGGCGAGCGGCAACTCCCTTGCATCCCGTTCTGCGCGGCTGTCCTGCAGAAAGCTTTCCAAGCCTTGTCCCCAAGCACCATTATATATATCATATATAATATATATAGTTGCACATGTCTTGGGTATATCATATTACCTGGGCCCAGTGGATGATGATGGTTCAGTTGCAGGTCTGATGATTTGCTTGTTTACTGACTATTACACACCAACGATTGAATGGCCTTTACCAAACAACCGTTGTTAGGATTTCACACAAAATGAGACCAACCATGTAAAAAATGGTCTTGCACTCCCAGGGTGTATTTTTTGATATGATTTCCAACCAGCATTTTTCTGAACAACCATTGTTTTACTAAGGACTTTACGCTGCAGGTCGCCAGGTCAACCGAACTCTCGGTCGCCAGGTCAATCCACCTGAAACGCCCGACCCAAACATACACCGAAGTCATGACCCTCGGGGAGTTGATTGGGGACTGAAACCTTTGTATAATTGAATTGCAAAAAGGTCGGTTTTTCGGTATCAATCGAATCAAGCCCACCCTCAGGTGATCTATCAAATAGTTGCATTATGTTGCATTGTTGGTTGATTCCATTTTTTTCTAGCGTGAACATTGAAAACGCTCATCTTCTGGAAGCGTGGCATCCACTCCCACCATGCTCCACAAAACCGCCGGTTTACAACACATGGTCTTTGTGTCTGTGAATTTGGGGTTGTATTCCAGGACTGCGAGACTGTTGAGCTGAGAAAATGTAAACAATGCCCAGATCTACACTCTGACTCACCAATGCTGGGATGCTGATTAGTAATAGGTCCTTTATAATGCTACATTGTTGAAAAAAATCATTCTGGACACCCTGGTTGTTTTAAGGGTCCTCTATTATGCTAAAAAAAACTTGTTGGATCCTATTTTTTATTATCTAAAAACAATTAGGGAATTAGGGTTAATTATATTTCCTTTAGAAACATAGAAATAGAAATTCTTAATACTACTAAGCCAATGGTTGGCTTGCTGAGATTGATAAGGATAGTTTTCTATAGTTCTTCTTCAAAACCGACAGCTTCCCAAAACCATCAATTCCCTAATCAATCCTTTATGTAAAGATTTCTCCTAAACAAATTTTCAAGGTAGTAGACCAGGAAGGCCCGTGATCCTCAATAATGTGTTTTAAGGGTCCTCAATTGTGCAAAGTTTTCCTGAAGAAAAGTAAACATAGTACTTCTGAATACTACTAAGCCAATGGTTGGCTTGCTGAGAGTATTGATAAGTATATATAGGTTTCTCAAGTTCTTCTTCAAAACTCACAGCTTCCCAAAGCCATCAATTCCCTAATCAATCCTTTATGACAAGAAAATGAATACTACAATCAATTACAAAAGGAATCCTCCCAGGAACCCAGATTTGTTGTGGTGGTAGTTTATTATAGAGGCTCTTCCATTTGTTTGAGGGAGGGGGGGACCCCCCTTTACTAATCAGGATCCAACATTAACATGGAAGTGGAAAATGGCCAATTGGAAGACTACTATCCTTTGGAAACGGAGGTTGGTCCACTTCCATGTTAGTGAGTCGGAGTGTACCCCAATGTAATGAAAAAGGCAAAACACATGGTTGCCGTTGGGAGAGTCAGGCCACCTGGAAGTGCCACAGCCCGCCTGCTGGGGACTCGAGTTCGAGAACTTCGAGGAGCCCTTGCTTCCGTTACTTCCCCGGAAATCACGGCGGGATCGGAAAAAAAGCCCACCATATCCGAAGAATCCTTGCCCAAACCATCGATATCCATGTATACGCCTATTTAACATCCGAAGAACCCTTGGGGTGCTCAAAGCCCGCGTACTTGTTCAGCCAGTACCTGCCTTTTGGGTTTACAAATGCGTGGAGTCCCACGCCACGACAAACCGGAGTCGAAATGGGCACCGTTTCCCCCTCGGGTCCTCCAAAGGAATGCCACGAGATTCAAACTCTTTTGAGAAATCCACCTTCAGCAGCTTCCCAGCACCATGCTTGTGCCTTTTGGGTGATGACATGGCAACGACAAGATCGCCCAATGAACGTTGTCGTGTGCTCCGCTGAGATGCTTTGCTGTCTCTTCGTCCTTGCCGCATCTTACTCCCTGATAGGTGCAAGTGATGGCGAAATCTACACCCTAGCATTCAAAGACATTAAAGAATGGTTGACCTGGTCAACAATATGGTTCTTTGGGAAAAACATAGAACAATAGTTCAGTCGCTTTGAAGTGGGGCGATATGATATGTGCTGTGCCAGCATGTGCTACACATCGTTTTCAGGCGACATGCTGCAAATATGCCACCCAACACTGCAGCAATTGAAACTTAAGACTGGTACTTTTGAGCCACCAAAAGTCAGTTTGCTTCCAGTGCCGAAGGCTCAGCAGTTGCTGTGCGCGCGTTGCCGCAAAGCAAAGCAAGGTTGAAAAAGGCAGCGCCTTTTTCAAGTTCTCGTAGAAGTCGTTCACGATATTTATGTACTCGTCCGACGTTCGCGACGTCTACTGAGTCTACTTTCACCCAAAACTCCAGCAAAGCACATTATGTTTCTGTGGGCTAGCTAGCCGCAGCTAGCCGCCCCTCTTCGTGGCCCACCGAAGAACACTCTCGAACGGAGAGTTCGGCGGCACCTAGGTTTCGGCAGGCGCCGCCGATCACATAGATGGAAGGCATCGCCTGGCGGTTGGGAGATGTGGGGGGCTGGGCGCCGGAGTTGCGAGGCGCCGGAGTGGGCTTGCAGGACCAGATGGACTCTGCAAACCACTGCGGTGGTAGAATAAGGTGGACTCGGCGGGTGTGTAGATGCAAAGATGCGTGGGGCAAATGGGATTTTAATTATGACCCTAGACCTTCAAAATCCCAAAATATGTTGATCGACTGTGGTTTGTACTACTTTATTGTGGTTTGTACTACTTTGCCGTTGGAAGGTCTAGGACCCTAGACTGTTCCAGTGTGGTTCACTTCGACTCCAATAATCTCTAGATACAGGCAACTGTTTGAAGTTCAGCAACATACATCGCCACCCTGAATGAGGTGTTGTTCCTGTGGTTCACTTCGGCTCATCTTCGCTCCTGTGCTCCGTCTCCTTGGCCAAATGTCCCGAGAAAGGTCCGTAAACGTCCACAAAAGACCACTCACAAAAGACCACTCACAAAAGACCGAAGAATTCCAGGATCGATGCGGAAGTGCCAAGGCACACTGGCGTAAAGTACAGGCATAGATGATCTTAGCTCCTGTCGACCAAGCATGATCAAATGTATCAATGCACAACTCCAACCTCGCACCTTCTCTCACCATGTCTCATCTTAAGTCGGAAATTGATCCTTCAAACTTCAAACTACAAACTTTAAGGCGTTCTTGAAGAACCACATCATCCAGCACAAGGAAAAAGAGCTTACCTGGATCTTCCAACTGTGACCCAATTTCTGCCTTTTCATCCATCAAAAGCAGCCAAGTTCGCCAGACATTTGGCATAGACGGGTCAGATCAAGGTACAAACTCTTTTCCAGCACCTTCCAACAGGTCTCCGGAATGGTGACTGCCAACTTCAAAGTGGCAGGTGGTGACCAGCGTCAGGTGCTAGGAATTTGATGGGGTCACTGGATCTCAGTTCCTGACCTCGTCCCTTTCAGAGTGTCTGCTCCTTTCGGAGTGGTGATTCAGTGGGCCGACCCGTCCAAGGTAGGCCTCTACGGGCCCCGGCCCAGAATTTCCACCAGATTTCACTTTCAGAAGCGCAATCGGCGGCCACCAGGATATATACGGATATCAGTTTGGAGAGGTGCTAGATGGGGAGATCATACTAGATTCGGCATAGAAGGGAATCAACTCCCATCAAAATCAGGCTTCTCTGGCGCTTCTGTGTCGCTGATCCGCTTATTGTCTTACAAACTCCCCCGGCGAGCCCGACGGACCCTCCATGCTCAGACCCAAAGTCCACGAGATTTTGATCGGAAAGGTCGACAACATGTGGTTCAATGATCCTGTGAAGTAGAGCAAGTACTAAGGGTGAATAGGCCATGTTTACACACCGTGCCACTCACGTGCGTGCTGAATGAAGTCGGATGAAGAACATCACATCCACTGCATTCGGAACCTCCGTGACCTTCACCCCCCATTGGAACCTCCGTGAGTTCGTGGCTTCACCCAGTCCACAGGTGTGAGTGTAACACCCAGTGACTTCAACCCGGCAGGGGCCATCAGGGCCGCCCATCTAATGCAGACTCTTGATTCAATTCATAGCCCCCCTCCCATGAAGAGGAGTTCCAGTTCAACTGATGAAGAGGAGTTCCAGTTCAACTGGGCTGGGTTGGTTGATTCATCAAGAGCCGACACGACGCAGGCATGCCACAGCATGCCACACCCAAGTCCACACCCAAGTCGTCCGCTCCTTCCCCAAGACCTTCCGTGCCGCGCGGAAGGCGCGCGCCGTCGGGAGCCCCGCAGCAGCCACTAAAATCATGAGGAGCTGTGGGTCCTGGGAAGTGAAGGAAAGAAGGCTGTGGGTCCTGGGTCATGAGGAGCTGGGGCCGCTGGGGGTTGGACGGATGACGATTTTCCTATCTGGTGAGGATGGTGACTGCAAACCCATGGGACCCATGATGACCCACGAGGAACCTGGCATCACCCTGCGAATGGTTTGACCATCCTTGATCTCATTCTGCCTGCATCTTCCATCGAACAAGAACAACCACAAAGGCTGCCTTTATTCACTTTAGTCCAAGGAAAGTACGATTTGTGTCCCAACTTTGGAACAACCCTGACTTCAGTAAACAGATGTATATATATATTGTTATATACGCATACTATGGGACTTCGGACTTCAGATTGGCGATCAAAGGACTTTGATTGCCTGACTTCTCGCATCTTCTCGCCCCCAAAAGGAAACAATCACGACATGGCACCGTGATGCTGAAGAAACGCCGCCGGGCGAGGGGCCGGGTGGCGCGGGCCGGGTGGCCGGCGGCAGTTCAGGGGATGACGCTTAAACACGCAGGGCTGGTCAGACCTGGCATGCTTTAAATGCTGTGCTCGTGAAGCAATCATGACCTGGACAAACATATGACCCAGGTTAGGGGATGTACCAAAAGTGAAAATAAACAATACCCAAGAGAGGTTCAGTGACCTTATAGGACCCGTCACCTGGGGTACTTATGGGATAGCCTAAAGAGGGTTCTGACCCACTTCTGTTGGACCCTCAGAGGTTAACCACAGGGAGAAATGATTCCCAGTCCATCGACCTTTCCCGCACCTGTAGCACGCTATCCATCGCTGGCGTAAACAATGGAATGGGGCAACACTCCACCTGGCGGATGGCGGATGGCTTCTCCCACCGGTGACGACAGGGAAAGAGATGAAGAACGCATGAAGACCTGGGGTGCATACAAATGATCCAACAAAGGTGTTCGGCTATCCGAGTCTGGTACCTCAGGTTTTCCGGGTCCTAGTTCAGGTCACTTAACCTCTAAGGTCCTATATGTATACTAGTGGACATGACTGATGATCTTGAGTGGGGCACAACCGGCTTCCAAACAGAGAAATGGGTCCAGAATTGCCTGAATCGGGCTTGGGAAAGCTCTGCAAACGGAGTCCTGTTGCTAGAGTCTTAGAACACCTGGATCACTTACACCAGTATGGTCAAGTCAGCCCTGGCAGATTTCACCCTCAGACCTGACACAGGCTTCCCAGACGTGTCCGTGTCGATGTAGGCTTTCCAAGGCTACAAACAGTACACCTCAAGAAACGAACACCTACTGTTGATGGACAAAATCCTGCACCACTTTGCGCACACTTTTCTTG